CTCCTTCCATCTCCATGTATTCCCCCTTTACCCTCTCCTCCCTCCTCCACCTCCCCCTTCCCTCTGGCAATCACCATACTGTTGTCTAGGTCTCTGAATTTCTTTTCTTCACTTAATTCCTTCACTGTTTTCACTCAATCCCCAAACCCCCTCACCTCTGACAGTTGTCAGTCTGTTCTCTTTATTTATGAGTCTGTTTCTATTTTGTTCATTAGATTCCACATATAAGTGAAATCTTATGGTACTTGTCTTTCTCTGACTGGCTTCTTTCAGTTAGCATAATAATCCCTAGGCCCATCCACGCTGTCACAAAAGGTAAGATTTCATTTTTTTTTTTAACAGCTCAGTGGTATTCCATGGTGTAAATGGACCACAGCTTTTTTATCCACTCATCTACTGATGGACATTTAGGCTCCTTCTAAATCTTGCCTACCCTATATAATAAAACCCTAATATGCAAATCGACTGAATGGTGGGAAGACCAATCGCTATGACATGCACTGACAACCAGCGGCTAATGCTCAATGCAGGAGCTGCCCCCTGGTGGTCAGTGCGCTCCCACGGGGGGAGCGCTGCTCAGCTAGAAGCCAGGCTCATAGCTGGAGAATGTAGCAGCAGTGGCAGGAGCCTCTCCTCCCTCCGCTGTAGGTGGGCAGTAAGAAGTGAGGGGTCCCAGACTGTGAGAGACCCAGACTGTGAGAGGGATGTCTGACTGCCAGCTTAAGCCCCATTCCTCCAGTGGGCAGACATCCCCTGAGGTGTCCCTGACTGCGAGAGGGTGCAGGCCGGGCTGAGGGACCCCCCCCTCCCAGTGCATGAATTTTGTGCACTGGGCCTCTAGTTGTAAATAATGCTGCAATGTACACAAAGGTGCATATATTCTTTCAAATAAGTGTTTCAGGTTTCTTTGGATATATTCCCAGAAGTGGAATCCCTGGGTCAAAAGGCAGTTTAATTTAAAAAAAAATATTTTATTGATTTTTTACAGAGAGGAAGGGAGAGGGATATAGAGTTATAAATATTGATGAGAGAGAAACATCAATTCAGCTGCCTCCTGCACACTCCCTACTGGGGATGTGCCCGCAACCGAGGTATATGCCCTTGACTGGAATCGAACCTGGGACCCTTAAGTCCACAGGCTGATGCTCTACCCACTGAGCCAAACCAGTCAGGGCTAATTTTTAAAAAAATTCTGTCCACATTTATTTGCTTTTCGGCCTGGCCCTGCCCCCGCCCCCAGCACTCACCCCCACTCATCCCCACTCAATCACCAGTCTCTCATCTTCACAGACAACTGGTCAACCCAATCACTCTGACCTGCCACTAGAGACAAAGTCCGGCCCAGCCATCTGGTCAACCCTATCTCTCATGGTCCCCACTACTGCTGGAGACTAAGTCCGGGCCCGGCCATCTGGTTGACCTGGCAACCATCAGTCCCTGCCACCGCCCTATGCCAGTGGTTTTGGGAGTGCTGGTCGACCTGGCTCCTCGGAGGGGGTGGAAAAAAAGGGGAGGAAGGAGCCTGCCCTCGCGCCCACCCCCCCCTCCCACCGGGAAAGGAGCCGAGTTTGCCACCACCCATCCCACTTCCCTGTCGCAGCCCAGGGCCCAAGGCCCTGGAGGGGTTTGGGAGAGGAGGCAACAGTCACCATGCTGGGCACAAAAGGAAAGTCATTTTAAAATTTTTAAAAAATACATTTTTATTGATTTCAGAGATGAAGGGAAAGGGAGAGACAGAAACATCAACAATAGAGAGAATCCTGGATCTGCTACCTCCTGCACGCCCCCCACTGGGGATGGAGCCTGCAATCCAGGCTTGTGCCCTTGCCCAGGAATTGAACCCAGACCCTTCAGTCCACAGGCCAACTATCTATGGAGCCAAGTTAGCTAGGGCTCCTATTTATCTTTGTTTTGTTTGTAGCTAGGGCTCGTTTTTTAATTTTTGAGGAAATGGCCTACTGTATGGATCTCTCAGGCGTGCCTGTATGTGTGTGTGTGTTGAGCAGAGGAAACTTTGCTCAATTATAGATGTTCCACTTTTAAATTTCAGGGGAGATATAAAGGGCCTGTCCCTCCTCAGTGAGGCTGCTGTGCCCCTCCAATATTTAGATTTGACCAGTTTCTGGTCTAATAGAAATTATGTTTCCAAATCTCCACTCCTCCTTTCGTGTAGGACACCCTAACTAGCTTTTTAAAATATTAGTACTATCTTTTTCAAATGTATCCACCCAGCTTAATTCAATGTTTTCCTTTGCAAGCATACATAAACACGTGTCATACTTCAACATTGCCTGGTTTTCCTTTGCCTGTACATATAACATTCATGCCTCTTGACCATACATGGGATTTGATTTACGTTGAGTGTAATATTAAAAAATATATAATAAATTTTATTTTTAATATGTATTCTTTTTTTAGATTTTTAAAATTAATTTTTAGAGAAAGAAAGAAGAAATATGAGAGAGGAGAGAAAGGAACATTGATTGGCTGCCTCCTCATGCTCCCAATTCTGGCCATGTGCCCTGACCAGTAACTAAACCAGCAGCCATGTGGTGTATGGGACGATGCAAGCCAACCGAGCCATATGGGCAAGGGCAACCAGCTTTATTTTTTTTAGAGCAGTTTATGTCGACAGTAGAATTGAGAGGAAGGTACAGAGATGTCTCATAGATGAGAGACATACTCGCTGCTACCACACGTGCCTCGTTGAACTAAACCAAGAGTGGGAAACTTTTTTCGGCCAAGGGCCGGTTGGATGTTTATAGCACCATTCACAGGCCATACAAAACTATCAGCTTAGAAGCCAGCCTGCTAGCCCTACCTGGTTTGGCTCAGTGGATAGGCACAGTTGGCCTGTGGACTGAAGAGTCCTGGGTTCAATTCTGGTCAAGACACATGCCCAAGTTGCAGGCTCAATCCCCAG